GGGTGGCCGTTTATGAACAGCCTCCCCGCACCCTGCTTGTGCGCGCTCCCTGGGAGCGCGCAGCACCGCGATCCGGTGCCCGCTGTGTCCTCTGGACACAGTGAAACATCGATCGTTGGACGGGACCTCTGTACGAGGTCCCGATCATGTGATCACTGATTGGCCAATCAGTGATCACATGCAAAGTAGTAAGCAAGATGTCACTTGTGACATCATTGCTTACTACGTGTGAAATCTGTGAATGATCAGAGGTCACATGGTACAAGGCTATTCGCAACAGCCTTGTACCATGTGACAAGGTGTGACCAATCACAGCTCACTCAGTACTTCTCAATGAGTGCAGGAATGCACACAGAGAGAAAGAGAAATGATTGCTTTTACATCCTATATGGGTGTAAAAACAATCAGTGTAAAAAAAAAAAAAATCTTCATCACCCCCCACAAGTAGTACAGTGTCACCATGGTGACACTGTACTGCTAGGGTGACAGTATGTAAATAAAAAATAATAATATAAAAAAATAAAATAAAAATGTAAATAAAAATGTTTAAAAATTATAATTTTTAGTTATAAACTAATTTGTTTTTGTTTGTTTTTTTACTAAAAAGATAACGGAATAAATTTTGGCAAAGATTTATGATGAAATATTATTTATTTGCAAAATTTTTATAAAAAAAAACACTTTTGTTCAAACTTTTTTGACTTTTTCATTTACATAGCAAAAAAAATAAAAATCCCAGCGGTGAATAAATACCACCAAAATAAAGCTTTATCTGTCTCAAAAAAATGGTAAAAAATCAATTTGGGTACAGTGTTGCATGACTGCGCAATTGTCATTCAAAGTGTGATAGCGCTGAAAGCTGAAAATTGCCCTGGTCAGGAAGGGGGTAAAAGTGTCCGGTCTGGAAGTGGTTAATTTATTCAAAAATGATAAAGAGGTTGCCATAAATAACTCAGTCTTAGTGTATGGTGATTGTATAAAGCTAAACAGGGCATTAACCTCACAGCAGGTTATAGAAACCCTTCAGGAAGACCTCCAAAAAAAAAGAAAAAGGGTGGGCAACTACATGGCAAATGAGGTTTAATGTTGAACCTTTAAGGATGTAACAATGTAATGTAATGCACTTGGGAGCCATAAATACGAATGCAAGTTATTCGCTAGGAGAACCATTGGGGGATTCCAGGATAGAAAAAGATCTGGGGGTCTTAGTAGATCACAGGCTCAGCAATGGCATCCAATACCAAGCTGCAGCAAGCAAAGCAAGCAGAATACTAACATGCACTAAAAATGGTATTTACTGAAGGGATAATATTGAGATTCTACTACTTTACAAAACTCTAGTTTGGCCACATTATGAGTATACCGTCCAGTTGTGGTCACCAGTCCTCAGGAAGGATGTACTAGAACTATTGAGAGTCCAGAGAAGGGCGGCAAAGCTAATAAGGGGACTGGAGGACCTCAATTATGAGGAACAACTACAACACTAAACCTATTTTCCTTGGAGAAGCGATGCTTGAGAGGAGATATGATAGCGATCAGGGGCGGACTGACCATTTGGAAACTCGGGCACTGCCCGAGGGCCCAGGGTCAGTAGGGGGCCCCATGAGATGCCCCTGGTACCTTTTTATAGGTTTTTTTTGAGTTTGGGCAAAGACACAGGGGCCCCATGATCCCCTATTGCCCAGGGGCCCCATGAGTTGTCAGTCCGCCCCTGATAGCGATATAAAAATACCTCAATGGCGTTTCTAGCATAGGGAGAAAACTATTTAGTTTCTGTACTTTACTCCCAAGATATGGAATGTATATGATGAAATTTCTATTATCTTAATTATACCGTAGTACAAGGAACTGATTATTAGGCTCCATGTACACGAGACGTTTGGAAAATACTTCTGAACGATGGAAACTGCTGGAAAACGTAGGTTAAAAAATGTCTGTTTAGCCACATTTGCGTACCGCATTTATGTTTGTTTGCGCTTAGAAGCATTTTTTAAAGATATCAGGAGACCTCCAAAAATGCCCAGAATGCACTAAAAAAACAGTAAAAATATTAACTATCTCAGACATTTTAAAAGAAATAGAGAGAGCAGAAGCAGAGAGGGCAGTATGTGTTGAGATGACCTATCTTTTCTGGTTGTATTCACTATGGATCCCATCATGAGCATAATGCAGCACGTTCTACCATTTTTTTCCCTACACGCAAAACCTGGAACTGACTACACTGGTGTACTGGGTCCATTTGAATACATGGAAAACGCTTTGCTTGCATTTCTGATGATGAAAAAAGGCTCTGGACAGCATTTGGATATGGAACAGTTAAAAAATCACTTCTAAACTCAAATGCTTATAAACGCGGTTAGACATGTTTACAAGCGTTTGGCGTTTTGAAAGGTTTCTTCACAGTAAGAGCTGGGAAAATGTGGAATAGACTCCCTCAAGAGTTGGTTCTGTCCAACTCAGTTGATTGCTTTAAAAAATGTCTGGATTCATTCCTAGATACACACAATATAACTGGATACCAACATTTTATAGGTAAAGTTGATCCAGGGAATATCCGATTGCCTCTCAGGGAATCAGGAAGGAATATTTTTCCTGCAGGAGCAAATTCGATCATGCTTGGCTGGGTTTTTTTTGCCTTCCTCTGGAACAATGGTGGGTATAGGATTATAACTATGTTTTTTTTTTTTTTTTTTTTAACTGGATAGACTTTTGTCTTTTTTCAGCCAGACTAACTATGTAAATTCCTACCTCCTAGCTTCTGAAGCCTCTTAAAGGGCTGGGAGGCATCGGCGGGAAGAGGTTAATCTGAATGTTGAAAAACATTTATATGAAGTCATTTTGTGCTAGCTAGCTTGCGGTAACTGTAGCCGTATTAGTGCACATGCAAAAAGAACAATTGAGTACTGTCCCTAACACTTTATTTGCGCTAAAACTTTATGTATTAGTACTGGTTGGACCTTGAAAAAGGGGAGACACCCAGAAAGCTTGTCCTGAAAATTTGGTTGTTCGTGCAAATAAAAAAGTATCGCAGACAATACTCAATTGTTCTTTCTGCTAGTTAACTGAACTGAGTGCTGGGAAACATTTGCAACGTATATCGGGCACAAACCGTTTTTATAACAAATAAACCAGGACTACGCTATGAGTGAGACTACTCAAAACACCAAACGTGCAAAATATTCACCCAACAGAAATGAATGTGTTAAAAACCAATCCAAAAACGAATAAACAATATAAAGTCCAATAATTCTTCACAGTGCTCCATAGTGAAGAACCTAAATGCTATGAAGTGATAACAAGTAAAGCAGTACTGCTCAGCAAAAACACCTGTACCTATTTTATGCTCAGCAGCTGAACAGTTACTGTATAGTGCAGACTACACAAAAACCCAAAAATGCTAAGTTTTCACCCAAGTGTAATATATGTGTTATAAACAATCTAAAAACCAATGAATAAACTATATAAACTCCAATAATTCTTCTCAGTACTCTGTAGTGATGAACATAAAACAGGTTTGAATCCCAACAACACTCTTAAATTGATTACACACGTACCTTAATGTGAACAAGTAAATGCGCTCACCCCTCCATGGACCTATGATTGGTTTGTAGGTGGTAGTACTGTATTTCTATTGTCAATTTTCAGTGTTATTAGTTTGTATATTTGGTATGTCATATTTGAATAAAATTTGGACTAGAATAGTTCTTACATCAAGCAAGTGGAGGAATTTTTTAGGTTAGAGCTAATTAAATTGTTTATAAACGTTTTAGGTTTTAATTTTATGGAGTGGTGATGATTAAATGTAACATGGTGGTGTATAGGACCCAGACAGCGCTCAGGAGCAGTAGCAGTAGTGATTGTTAAGATTGCTGTTGTTTACTGGTGCTAGGTGGTTTAGAAAGCAAATAAATGGAGTATGATGGCAGCGGGCGGGCACCTCTGATGAAGCCCCATCTTGTGGGTGTAATGCATAAGGTGGAGTGAAGTGTAATCAACTAAAGTGTCACTGGGATTCACAAGTATTTATGTTCATCTCTAAGGAGCACTGTGAAGAATTATTGAACTCTATATTGTTTATTCATTAGTCTGCACACTGTTAATGCATTCATTTCATTTGGATGAACATTTTACACGTTTGGGGTTTTGGGTAGTCTCAATCATAGCGCTGCAGTATTACTTATTTTTTTTAACAAATAGTTTTTAGTGAATCATGATTTTCTTAAAGTGAACTTTTCAGACTGTTAAAGTTTTCATATACCCAAAACCAGGTACTTTTCTTATGTGCCCTTCTTATCCTGGATTGTTAGAGACCACCTACCATACCTCTGTTCAATGCAAAAATGATGACAGATGGGCACACAGAACAGATATTTCTGACTAAAATAAGTGACAGCATGTATCATCTGGTGCCTGGTCTTAAGCACACAGTTTTCTTTTAACATTTTAGTACAAGGTTTGAGTTTGCTTACATTACCTGTTTAACACAGCAATACCAAAACTATTTATGGCCTTTCAAGACTAGGCTTGTAAAATAGTCATAGCTATGATTTTAACAGGGATTGTGGCTTTTCAGGATAATCTTTAATTTTTATAAAGAAACCAAAAGAATGAATGAACATGAATAACACACAGGAAAATAAATGTATTTGTTTAATACAAAAATAAAGAACTGATCCACATTATATTTAAATACAAATATTTCTGTACACAATTTTAAAAGTCGATGCAATTGGTGGAGCTGGAAAACCTGTCCACAAAATTTTCCAAATGCAAAAACTTAACCACCATATTAATTTTGTTGTTTTACCCCTCATAACCCAGTAAGACAAGCATCATGATTTAAAACTGTAATCCATTAAAGAAAAGGCCATTTTCCTACTTGTGATTGGTTCTCTGTTTTTTATATACAATTTCAGGCTTCCACTGCAATATAAGATATTTTTTTTCCAGTTTCAATACAAGAACTGTATACCTTTAGTGGTTTATCTGTCTTGTTTTGTTCACTCTTTGGGTAAAATATTTCTGGAAATCAACTTAAGCTTCTGCTTTGTTTCCCAGTGCTCAGCGGTGGATTGTGGATGAAAATGAAGAAAATTTGCCAGGTTATATTCAACAATGTCCTAAGGGAGGAATAAATACTACAATAAAACAAACGGTTATTAATTCATGAAAGCAAACCTGTACAGTAAGTTATTAAGGCAAAGCTAAATAAGTTCCAAAAACTCCAGCTTATTACATTTTAGCAATACTGATCCAGGGGAAAAGAAAAATAAGACTTCAATATGGTAGTCAGATCAGCTCCTTGGATCAGTCATCAATTAATTGACATAATTGGAGAGAACAAATCTTGTAACAAAATTTAGCAATCTTAATTGCTGCAATAAAAGTTAGAACCCTACATCTACTGTAGTCAGTCCCAGCCATGGCTGTATATTCAGAGTAGGTAGCAAAGTTTAGGTCATGTTAAAACTATATTGAACAGCACTTATACCTGCTTATTTTATAAATCCCTAACGTGTTTAGTTTTATTTAGTCTCTCTGGCTTTCTTGTCTGTTTCGTTTATCTTGTCTTGTACAATCGGTGAGCTTTTCTGTACCATTGGTGATACCTTATATGGTAATAGTTTTTTTTTTTTTTTTTTTTTTTTTTTTGGTGCTTCAATCTCATTTTCCGATTGTTCTTATCTTCACTTCCTGTGTATAACTAGAAGGTTCTCTGCCACAAAAAGAGAAACGCAAGCCATCCTTATATTCTGTATTATTCAATACATCATTGGGGCCACCTCCCAAAAACTATGCAGAATGAGGCCATCACTAATGTATTTTTTCAAGGTCACCAAATCCCACCAATTGGTAGTTTGTTGTTCCATAATATGACCAAGATGTTTGCAAGTACTTTGCAAGACATCAACCAGGCAAGAACTTGTTTGTGTGGCAAATACATCATCAACATTAATATGCTTATTTTTCCAAAAATCAAAAAAATATCTATAATTATCCATAACCATAATAATCCATATCAACAAAGACCCAAAACATTGCTACTGTATTGCCAGATGTGAAAAATTAAAACCAAAAAATATATGTTTCAAAGACACTGTGCTGCTAAAAATACTGATTTTAAATAAGACAAAAATCAAAGCAGCTGTTCAAACTTACTCCACTCCAAGTTACATAGTTAGCCTGGCTGAAAAAAAGACAAAACTCCATTCAGTGCAACCACTAAAAAAAAAAAAAAAAAAGTTATAATCCTATACCCACAGTTGATCCAGAGGAAGGCAAAAAAACCCAGCAAAGCATGATCCAATTTGCTCCTGCAGGGAAATAAATTCCCTCCTGATCCCCCAAGAGGCAATCGAATATTCCCTGGATCAACTTTACCTATAAATGTTAGTATCCAGTTATATTCTGTGTATCTAAGAAAGAATCCAGGCATTTTTTAAAGCAACCCACGGAGCTGGCCAGAACCAACTCTTGAAGGAGTCTATTCCACATTTTCACAGCTCTCACTGTGAAGAAACCTTTCCGTGTTTGGAGATTAAATTCATTTTCCTCCAGATGTAAAGAGTGCCCCCTTGTCCCCTGTGATGACCTCAGGGTGAATAGCTCTACACCGAGTTCACTATATGAACCACTGATGTATTTATACATGTTGATCATATCCCCCCTTAATCTCCTCTTCTAAAGAGAGAATAAATTCAGTTCCTCTAATCTTTCCTCATAGCTGAGCTCCTCTATGCCTCGTATCAGTTTGGTTGCCCTTCTCTGTACTTTCTCCAGTTCCCCAATGTTCTTTTTGTGAATTGGTGCCCAAAACTGAACTGCATATTCCAGATGAGGTGTTATTAATGATTTGTACAGGGGTAAAATGGTATCTCTCTCTGGAGTCTATACCTCTTTTAATACAAGAAGATTTTGCTCGCTTTAGAAACCGCAGCTTGTCATTGCCATTATTAAGCTTGTGATCTACCAGAACTCCCAGATCATTCTCCACCATTGATTCCCCCAGTTGTACCCCCCCTAGTATGTATGATGCATGCATATTCTTAGCCCCCAAGTGCTAAACCTTACATTTATCAACATTAAACCTCATTTGCCACATAGTTGCCCAATTAAACAGAGCATTGAGGTGTGATGGATACAAACAAATACATACAAAAAGTTATTTTACACATTAGTCCTCATGCACACTGGGCTTTTTAAAAACAATGGTAGTGTTAGCTGTATAGAGTCACGTTAAAAACGTGGGTTTTTCCCGCATTTTTCTAGCGTTTAGCCACGTTTGTGTTTTTAGATTTTTTTACACAAAAAATTAATACAATTTTTGCTAAAAAAAAGCCCAAAATAGCTGGTCTGCTGGGTTTTCCATGTTTACCAGCATTAGTGTTTTTACAGCTGAAAAACTCCTCTAGAAACCCACTAGTTCTGGGGGTATTTTACAGCCAAAAAAAGCTAAAAGCCAAAAACAGCAGCTGTAAAAACCTCCAGTGTGTATGAGGACTTAAAATGACTCTAAACAGCATTTTTATTTAATATAACAACTTATAGCGGAGTAAGTTTGAACAACTGCTTTGGGATTTGTTGTTAAATTCTTTAGCAGTGCAGTGTCTTTACATGTCTAGGTCCCAGAAAGACCACTGAAGAACAGTGGCTCTACCAACACTGAACTTGGAGGGAGTTTGAACACATGGAACATAGAGTAACTGGCCTAAGGACAACCATTGGCATGGAGTGTGCAATGGTAAATAGACACTTACCACTACAATATTGCTAGAGTAGCTGCTTTTATGAAAAAGGTTGTTCTCCTTTGTCATTGTAAAAATTAGGCTTTAACCATTTGCCGCCCGCCCTATGGCCGAATGGCGGGCGGCAAATGTCATCAGCGTTCCGGGTGGACGCCATATGGCGTCTTCCCGCACATGCGCAGATTGCGCTCCTGCAGAGTGGCACAGCAGCGCGATCTGTCACCGGCCGTGTACCTCGGACACGGCCGATGACAGATCTGAGTATCGGCCCCGTTGCCGATACCATGTGACCTGCTGTGACCAATCACGGCAGGTCACATGACAGTTGTATACAATGGATGGCTTCATTCATGCCATCCATTGTATACTAGTGTCTAGTTGTGAATGGTCACAGCTAATCACATGCACATGTCATGTGATTAGCTGTGGCCAAATCACAGCTAAGCACAAAAAAACAAAAAACAAACTCTGAATGAATCCATGTCATTCAGGTAAATGCTTGCTTATAGCAAAGTAATTCTTTGCTATAAGCAAATTGTGTAAAAAAAAAACAAAAAAACAAACAAATACTGATCACTTCACCAAGGTAGTACAATGTTATTATGGTAACATTGTACTACTTTGGTCATAGTGAAATATGAAAAAAAAAAAATCTTAAAAAAAGAAAAAAAATTTAATAAAAAATAATAAAAAAAAAAAATAAAAAAAAAAAAATATATATATATATTTTTTCATACTGTCACCAGTCAGTGTCCCTGATCGCCGCCATGCCAGTTATATGATGACACTGTACTGCACTGGTGACAATATGTAAAAAAAAAAAGTGAAATCTAATTTTTTTAATTTTTTCATTTTCCGAAAAATTATGACAAAAAAAATACAACTTCAAAAAACTCGCCATGCCTCATATGAAGTACGTCGGACTGTCTACTTTGCAAAAAGGGGTCATTTGGGGATATCTGTACTGTTCTGACATTCTTGGACCTCAAGAAATTAGATTGGCTGTCAGTACTTCAGGATTGATCAATATTCAGATCTATACCATAGTTTGTGAACTCTATAACTTTCCTACAAACTAAAAAATACATCCTAATTTGGGTTATTTTCACCAAAGACATGTAACAGAATACATCTCGGCCTAAATTTATGAAGAACAATTATTTATTTGCAAACTTTTATAACAGAAACAAAGAAAAACTTTTTTTTTTCAAAATATTTGGTCTTTTTGTGTTAATTTAGCAAAAAATAAAAACCCCAGCGGTGATTAAATACCACCAAAAGAAAGCTCTAGTTGTGTGAAGAAAATGATTAAATTTTAGTTTGGGTACAATGTTGTAGGACCGCGCAATTGTCATTCAAAGTGTGAGAGCGCTGAAACCTGAAAACTGGCCTGGGCAGGAAGGTGTAAAATTGCCCGGTATTGAATTGGTTAAAGAGGAACATCACTCTTAAATAAAGCAATATGTACATACTGTAGGTGTGGATATCAGTGTAATATTGACATAATTAAATTACCCAAAAGAAAAATGATAGCTTGACTACAGTTGGTCGATCTATGTGGCATGCCTATTTTAATTTCCCAGAATTGTTTTATGAGGCACAATGTACAGTGCACTCAAACAAATGCACCTTTTCTCACTTTCTGGGTGCACAGTAATATCTCTGAATTTCCTCTCTGTAGCTTTCTTTCCTTGTAGCTTTTGAATCCTTTGTTCTAGCTTCTATTAAAGAAATAATATTCCCTTTGTCAAAGGAGAGAGCGTATTATCCCTCATAATTATAATATACTGTATATTACTAGAATCACAATGACTCTTCCTATGCAGTGATATTATGTCCATGTCAACGTAGCTTTGTTATGCTCAGGTTTTCTTCTTCCTAGTACAAAACATAACCCACAAGTTAATAGCTTCCTTGTAAGATTGTCTCTAGCGCATGTATACATAGGACTGTAGTAGGGAAATGATATTGTAGTGTCTGTTAGTGCTATGAATTAACTTATTATACAGTAAAACAATTTAAAATATATTCATTACCCCACATCTTTCCTCCAGCTTCATTCTGGACTTCATATTTTTTCTCTGTAGGGCTCTGACAGGTGTCTTGTGCTCTCCAAGATGCTGCTGCAGATATTTCTTTACGCAGTTTTTCCCACTTCTGCCATGAACCCTTGGATGCGTCTACACTGCATCGGGAGTGACACATTTTACACATCATGCAAACTGTAAGCTTTCTTCATTTATACATCTAGAGAAGTTAAATGATTTTTCCATTCACCTAACGGTCCTTGCTACAAAATTCTTACCTGTTCATTATTATTTCTCTCATAATCCTCCTGAACGTTCTGCATGGATTTCAGTCTGGCCTCTAGCTCCTATGAAGTGATCATAAAAACAGATTACTATTGCAACCCAATTACTCATTTTCAGTTTTCATACTTTAATTAATCAAAACAAGGGATCATAAAAACATATTTTTGTACTCCCCTTTTCTTACAGTCTATTTAGGGACACAGGGATTCAGGCTGACAGGTTATACTGTTGGATTGGTACAACAAAGTAGGACCAAGAACATGAAAAAAGGCATAGAAGGGGAGGGGCTTGTGTCCCACAATAGACTCCAAGAAAAAATGAGTACAAAAATCCTGTTTTTGTTCACATCCATTGAGGAACACAGGAATTCCTAAATTGTTGGGATGTCTAAAAGAAGTCCAATAGATGAGTGGGCAGCATAACAACAAGGGCTAACAGACTCAAGAAAAAGACACCTGAAAACTGAGGACTGCCTACAGCTCAAGAAACTGCCTAAAAGGCCGAATGTCAGAAGATGGCATCAGATGACACCTGAATATTCATCTGGTAGAAAACAAAGAGAGAACACCATGTGGTAACCTTGCAGACTTGGAAAAGTTGCTGAATATTGTAAAAGAACAAAAAGCACTCACAGATCTAATAGAATACACTTTGACAGCCTTTGACGGGCCACAAATTTGAATAATGGTCTGCCTAATACACCTAGAAATGGTGGACACTTACACGGGTCAAAGAGCTTTGGCTGTACTTCTCCTTTAAGCAGAGGAGGGGGAAAACCAGCAGTAACGACACGTGGGTCAGTAGCAGTTGCCAGCAGACAACTGAACCCAAAACACTAAGGAACCCCTTCACACTGGACTATGTGGACTAGAAAAAGCCTCTGTTCTCCCTTAAAAAAAAAAACCCCAAAACTTTTTTCTTTACATTTTGTGTATTTTATGGGGTTAATTTATTTTAAACAGAGTGCAGAAGCTGGTGCAGCTCTGCATAGAAACCAAACCGCTTCCAGGTTGTATCTGAACACCACAAACCAAAAACGCTAATTTATTTTAATATACTATATATAAATATCTAATGCTTTGTTTTGCTGAAAAATCACTTTGAAAAATGCCCCCTAACATTTTCGACTGTGGTCATCTTGAGTAAGTGCAGATGATTCATGTAGCATTTACTTCCTGGAATTCATCTGCCTTTAGCTCAGGCATGCAGTCAGTGTGGTGTGCTTAGCTGAGAAAACCCCTCCTGAAGACTCCTGGGATGTATGACACCATTTACCTAGGCATGGAAACCAGAAAATAACTAAAGAATTGTAAAAAAAAACTGTTTATCAAAACAAGTAAATATGATATACCTACCTACCTATTTACTAATGCTAGCAACATAAGGATTCAAAATAGTCAGTGTTGATTGATAGAGTGAAGTTCCATTTTAACCACTACAATACCGGGCACTTTTACCCTCTTCCTGCCCAGGCCAATTTTCAGCTTTCAGTGTTGTCGCACTTTGAATGACAATTACGCAGTCATGCAACACTGTACCCATGAAAAAAAAATTTCTTTTTTTTCCCACACAATTAGCTTTTTTCTGGTGATATTTAATCAACATTTTTGCTAAACAAAAAAAACCTGAAACTTTTGTAAAAAAACTAATTTCTTTGTTTTTTTAGTTATAAAATTTTGCAAATAAATAATATTTCTTCATAAAGTTAGGTCAAAATGTATTCTGCTACATTTCTTTGGTCAAAATATCCCAAATTAATATATATATTACATGTATATTATTTAGTCTGTAGGAAAGTTATAGAGTCCACAAACCATGTTATATATATCTGACAATCGATCAATCAATGTACTGATGGCCAATCTCATTTCTTGAGGCCTGAAAAAGCTAGCATAGTACAAATACCCCTCAAATTACCCATTTTTTCGAAAACAGACAGTCCAAGGTATTTTTTTTTTTTTTTCTACATATTGTCACCAGTCCAGTACAGCATGATTATATAACTGGTGTGGCGATGATCAAGGACATTGACTGGTGGCAGTATGTAAAAAAAAAAAATAATAATTTAATTTTTATTTTTTTTAAAACTTTTCTATTATTTTTGTATTTTTTACTACATTATTTTTTCAACACACTGTGACCAAAGCAATACAATGTTACCATTGAACTACTCTGGGCAAATGATCAGGATTTTTTTTTTTCTTTACACATTATGATTGCTAATACCAATGTATTTCATTGATATTTGCAATCATTGTTACTGAATGAAAGTGATTCAGTCTTTTGTTGTGATTAGCTGTGATTGGGCAAAGCTCAACACATGATACAGATGGGCTGTGATTAGCCTTGTCTGTATTATGTGACTGCTTTGATCAATCACAGCTAATAACACAATTGTATACAATAAATGGCATAACAGGAAGCCATCCATTGTATACAATTGACTTGTGATTGGTCACAACGATCACACGACACTGGCAATGGGCCAGTGTAGTGATATGTCATGTGTCCCGTGGACACAGCCGGTGACAGATGCGCGGCCCGGCTGCCACGTGAATGGCTGCTTTTGACAGGATGTCATATGATGCCCAGTCACAACGGCGAGTGTCCTACTCGGCCGTCAATCTGCTATAGGCCGGGCGGGAAGGTGTTAACTGAATAAGCTGAAGATAGAAGTTGATTGGCTACCATGTGCAGCTGCACCAGATTTTGCACTCTCCAGTTTTAGTAAATCATCCTCTGTTATTTTTTTTTTTTTTGTGTATGAATGCATTTATTCATTCATTCCATTCCAAAAATATTTTCAACTCTAATAAACCCCTCCATATATGTATTAAATTTGTTCAGTAAGATTTGCATCCTGACTGTCTAAGAACTACATGAAAACACCTTTCTGTGGTCTGAAAAATAAAATTTTAGTACATAATGCAATCCAGTCAAGTCCATTAAGGGACACAGCAGTTCAAAAACCGGTTACACTGCCACCTACAGACACTGGCAAACAGAAAAAGTTGTGATTCCCCAAACATGCTGTGGTACCACTTTAAAAACTTGCCTACCAGGCCAATTTTGACAATTCTGTCATATATGTAAAAAATCTGCATTTTTTTGCTAGAAAATTACATATTTTTAAGAAAAGGTCCTAAAGAATAAAATGGTGGGTGTTGCAATTTTTTATGTCATGCGGTATTTGTGTAGCGGTTTTTCAAACATACATTTTTTGGAGAAAGTACACTTTATTGAATTTTACTAAACAGAAACACAATATAATACCTAAATATGTCACGTTTCTTAAACATGCTCACATCCGTGGAACAGCGACAAACTAGGGTATGTTGAATTATCCATAGTTGATGCTTTAAAAGCCTTTACAGGGTACAAGTTTAGAGTTACACAGGAGGTCGGGTGCTAGAATCATTGCTCTTGCTCTGATGTTCATGGCAATCTCCATTTACATATTCGTGCAGGACCAACACATGCGTTCGCCTTTGTGCAGGAGCAAAATAATAAAAAAAATAAAAAATAATTTTTAAAGTGTCCCCCCCCCCCCCCTTCCTTCCTGATGAGTACACTTTAAAAAATTTTTTTTTTTTTCATTAATCTTTCTTTTTTTTTTTACACTGTACCTTTATTTTTTTTAACACTTTTATTGCGATCGCAAGGGATGAACAACATCCCTTGTGATAGCATGAGCCATGATAGTTCCTTTATATGAAGAGATCTGAGGTCTATGAGACTCTAGATCTCTTCTCTGGCCTCCAAAGCAGCAGATCAAACAGATATCAAATAAACAAACCAAAACCAGAAGTGATGAAATTCTCATTGCTTCCCGTTTATGACATCACCCAGTGAGAGGAACCAGGGGCATCCCTAGGCAGGTGCGGGGGGGGGGGCGTGCCGCACCGGGTGACACCTTTTTCACAGGGTGACACCGGACCTGCTCCACCAGGGGCAGACTGACCATTCGGGAACTGCCCAAGTGCCCGGGGTCACTACAGGGCCCCATGAGAGGCTCAGTTCGTTCCTGTATGTGCCGCTGCTGAAATAAGCAAGCCTTGAGGGGACGGACAGTGAGGCAAGCACTTCGGACACCTCTCCTCCTCGGAGTTTCAGCAGAGGGGCGGGACCACACCCCTGCCACGGGTGCTGAAGTCGGAGAGCTGGAGGGGCAGGCAGAGTATGCAGCAGGTCAGTGTGTAATCCCCCAACCCTGGTGACAGCACTGCAGCTTCATGTAGCAGGCGGAGGGGGGGGGAGAAAGGGAAGAGAGAGGGAGGAGAGAGAGGAGAAGAGAGGGAGGGCAGAGAGAAAGAGGAGGGGGGGGGGGGGCAGAGAGAGAGAGGGTAGAGAGAGAGAGGGAAGAGAGAGAAGGGGGAGAAAGAGAGAGGGGGGCTTGTTTTAAAACTTACCTTTTCATGGAGCTCGTGGAGAGATCAGTTAACCCTGTATAGGTTGCAAGCTGAAGATCCCTGCAGGATGGATCAGATCTGCGAATTGAGGAAGATAATGGATTGGACTCCGATCCATTATGCTCAATCCGCAGATCCGATCCATTCTGCAGGGATCGTCGTAGGGGTTGTCACCAAGTATTCCGGCACTTGGGCGACACCAACCCTAGGGACACCCCTGAGAGGAACAACATCAGGCATCAGTTCATCTCGCTGTCTCCAGGGAAGCTGATGGCACTGGTCACATCTTTACCAGGCTTCCTGATTGCTCGGCAAAGCCCGGTAAAGGCAACAGGAGGGGGGGACCCCCTTTTGCCATCTGTAAAAGTAATCCAGTGGCTGAATAGCTGCTAGGATTACTTTAACATTGAAGGGAATTGCCTCCTTTGTAGTCTCAACCATGATCCCAGTATAACCACCTCAATACCAAAAAAGTATATACAGTACCTCACAGAAGTGAGTACACCCCTCACATTTTTGTAAATATTTTTATTCTATCTTTTCATGTGACAACACTGAAGAAATGACACTTTGCTACAATGTAATGTAGTGAGTGTACAGCTTGTATAACAGTGTAAATTTGCTGTCCCCTCAAAATAACACAACACACACAGCCATTAATGTCTAAACCGCTGGCAACCACAGTGGAGTACACCAGTGGCAAAGTGTTCAGTGTTGTCACATGAAAAGATATAATAAAATATTTACAAAAATGCGAGGGGTGTACTCACTTGTGTGAAATACTGTATGTACATACGGCGTATTAAGGTGGTTAAATATAAATTGTGAACAAAGTGAATCCTCCCAATGCTGAAGTCCCCATTTAAAGATTTGTATATTGCTATCATATCCCCTCTTAAGCTTCGCTTCTCCAGTGAGAATAAGTTTAATGTTGGGAGTCATTCCTCATAACTGAAGTCCTCCAATCCCCTTATTAGCTTTGTTGTCCTTCTTTGGACTTTCTCCAGTACAAGGACATCCTTTGAGAAGATTGGTGACCAGAACTGGACAGTATACTCAAGATGTAGCCGAACCAGAATTTTTTAAAGCGGTAGAATTATAGTTTTATCTCTTGCGTAAATGCCCTTTTTAATGCATGTCAATAGTCTGCTGGCCTTGCTTGCTGAAGCTTGGCTTTGCATGCTATTGCTGAATCTGTTAGGACCCTCAGATCCTTTTCCATCTTCAATTTGCCGAGAGGGTCTTCTCTTCAGCGTGTAACTTGCATGCATAATTTTTAGCTCCCAAGTGCATTAGTTTACATGTTCAACATTAAATGGTTCTAAAGGCTCAAGATTCACTTGAGAATGGACACACCTTGGAGGTATCAAACCTGAAGTCAGCCTGACTAATTAAGGAAGGGGGTTGCTTGGGAGGCATATTGTGATCCCAAACTGGTGCATTTAAACACCAGAAGAGTAGGAGGATGAGCAAGACCCAGTCACTAAAACACCCAAAAATATCTCTGGGGCCTGACAGCTGTGGAACAAGGGGCAGGAACCTTAGCCAAACAGCTAAAAATGTTCACCTGAGAAGGGCCAGAACCAAAGAAAAGGATCAGGAGAAACCTCACCAGGAGGCTTCAGATCAGCCATAGAAAGGATCTAACTCCAGGAGATCAGGTCCCGCAAAGGCCTCCAGACATAGTCTATCCCCATAAAAGACTACCTGCATCAGGATCTCAGCATGAACCATCTGTTGACAATACCATACAGGAGATGAAGCACACCCAGGTGCTTAACCTCTTTCTCCCAAAGTAGGGCTACTGATTGATGCCATGTACCAGCATGTGCACCGAACGCAGGATCCAGTGCCCAGAGCAAATATTACAGGCCAGCACTGCTGCTACAGGGTCCGGTTCCCCAAAATGTACATTGAGGTAACTGATACGGAAACTGCTACTGAGTCATAAAGTGATAAGCAGTTAGATCTTGATCAAGGAAGGCACGGAAAAAGGAGTTAAAATAAGAAAAAATTATTAAAAAGGAGAAGGGATCCCTTACCTAAGGACGGTGCCATATACCTAAAAGGTAGAGGCATATAACCAAAGTCTAAGAATAAATTATTGTATCCCGTACTATATGATTAAGATATAGTTTTAGTGAACGCTGGAATATTTGGTGTGCAATTGCTCTTTCATCCTATGTTCCTATAAGCATGAGGAGCCATGTGTAAGTTTAAGTCGATCCCAGCCTTAGCTTAACCCCTTGACGCCGACCGCATGCAAATTATCAGCCCCACAGAACTGGGCTTTTTTATGTCGGGCTGCTAATTTGCATACCTGTCTTTCTGCTGGGAGTGCACTGCATTGCGTGCTTCCAGCACAAAGACTGGGATATCACTGAGACTCTGGTCCCGTTCTAACAATTGGGACCTGGAACTTCCAATTCCTGGTCACCTGATTGCCTCTGATTGGCTATCACAGTGATCAATCCCTGTGAAGCCCACCCCCCTTGTTTTCTCTCTCTGAATGGAGGAGAGAGATACATTGTATCTCTCTCTGTCCTTCAGAGAGGAGGAAAAAAAAAGTGTGTGTAACAAATAAAAAAATAAACAAAAATACCTAGATCAAGGTTTGAGCTAGGTCTGTGCAGGGTTAGTGTTTGGGTCAAGGTCAAAGGTCAGGGTCAAAGGGCAAGGTCAGGGTAATTTTTTTTGTTTTTTTTTTAAATTTTCAGATTAGTATCAGTGTCAGTTAGTGGCAGCATAAAAACCAGGATAAATTATTTTGGGTTCTTTGGTGGTATTTTAGTAGCAAGAAATATACAGCTAAATTTGTTTTTTTTTTACTTTGGGTAAGTTTTCCTTTGGTAAAAAAAAACAAAAAAACAAAATCAGGCAATATCCATTACCATTTGCCTCCAAATGAAAGTCCAATTTGTCCTGAAAAAACAAGGTATAATCCACCTGCATGCACAAAGTAGTTGTGATGATATGTACAGTTTTGCTAACATATGTCAACGTTGCAAAATTGTGCTTAGGTGTTAAGATTTGTTTTACCCTTAGGCACGAAGGGGTTAAACAAAGCTGACTCACTCCCAACCCCAGGTGACAGCCCTGTTCCAATCAACAAGCTCCAATGTTGTCTCAAGAAAAAAAGGGTAGTGAGTTACAGGAGCCACATACCTAGAAGTAGGAAGTATTTGTCTAATTTTAACTCACTTGTATTCTTTCTGCTTCTTTTCTGGCCCCTTTGCTTTCCATGTAACATCTGAGCTGTGTTTTAAGTCCACATACAATGTCCTTCTGTTGCAGAATCTCTTTTTGTAGCATGGATTCCCGCGCTCTCAGCTCTCTGTTTGTCCGTGAGAGCTCTGCGGATTTTGCTGTGGCATTATCTAGTGCTTTCTTTAGCTGTGAGTAAAAGAAAAGAATGAAGCCAGCCATCAGATCTTCTTTCGGGTATAGATCTACCACTACTGTTCATCTGATTTCTATTTTAAAGATACATTGATCTAAATTCTAAGTCCATTCTGAAGGGTTATAATATCTGACATATTCTAAGGACTTTACTTTCATAAATTATTTAGTGTATCAACGATCACACAATTTAACCTGGTATTGCAATTTTTATTCAAAAATTAATTTTGTTTGACCTACAGCTTATTGTGTGCAACTCCATATTGACATGTTCTCCCTAGTGGCTATCTGTATGTCAAACAAGTAAACATCTTTGTGGGACAATTGCTGAGATATAACATGTAACATGAGGAGATATTTTAAATTAAGCAGATGTTAGATCGCCATTAACCACCAGAGGATTTACCCCCCTTCCTGATCAGGCCATTTTTTGCATTATGGCACTGTGTTACTTTGACAATTGCGCGGTCATGCAATGCTACACGAATTTTTCCCACGAATAGAGCTTTCTTTTGGTGATATTTGATTGCCTATGCGGTTTATTATTTGCACTATAAAAAAGAAAAGACAGACAATTTTGAGGAAAAAAAACAATATTTTTTACTTTTTGCTATTAAACATGTCTAGTAAAAAAATTTAAATAATCAAATTTCGGCATAAATTTAGGCCAAAATGTTTTCTGCTACATGTCTTTGCTAAAAAAAAAACCCAATACGTGTAAATTAATTGGTTTACGTGAAAATTATAGTGTTTACAAATGGCGGTATATATACTGTGATTTTTCTTTTATTTGTTATTTTTACTAGTAATGGCGGCGATCAGCGACTTATAGCAGGACTGTGGTGGCCAATCTGACACTGGGGGGAACTGACTTGGTGCCACTGACATCAATACAGTGATCAGTGCTAATAAAAGCACTGATACTGTACTAATGGCACTAGGCAGGAAGGGGTTAACATGTGGGGCAATCAAAGGGTTAACTGTGTGCTGTGTGTGCGCTTCAATGTAAGCACACTGCTTTGCATGGCTCTGCTGAGAGCTGACAGGGGAGAGAACTGTATTGTTTATTTACAGTTCTCTTCCTCCGTCTGTAATGCTCCTCTATCAACGGGTGTCAGCGAGTAATCACCGACCGGGACCCGGTGATTGACAGCAGAGGCTGCGAATAGCCATTTCCTGGAAATGCAGAATCACGTGTATATATACATGTGATTTTGCACACCCAGGCTGCCCTGTAGCAGTATTACTGCTATAGGGCAGACAAAGAAGCGATAAAACAGAATTTGTCCCAAGAACGGGTTTTATCTGCCTTTATCTGATACCTGCAATTTCAAAAGGGTTGAGTTGTATTCAGGGAGTCTATATATAAACATTTTTAAAGTTCAACACAATCACAGGAAACATTCCATTCCCAAATATCCAATATGACTCCAACATGTCTTTCTTTCACCATGTAACATACTGTACAGTTGCAAGAAAAAGTATGTGAACCCCTTGGGATTACGTGGAGTTTTGCATGAATTGGGCATAAAATGTGCTCTGAACGTCAGCTAAGTCACAGCAATAGAAGAACACAGTCTGCTGAACATAATACAACACAAACATTAGATGTTTCCATGGTTTAATTGCACATAACATGTAAACATTCACAGTGCAGGGAGGAAAAAGTATGTGAACCTTTGGACTTAATAACTGGTTGACCCTCCTTTTGGCAGCAATAACCTCAACCAAACGTTTCCTGTAGTTGCAGATCAGACCTGCACAACGATCTGGAGTCATTTTGGACCACTCCTCTTCACAAAACTGTTTCAGTGTAGCAATATTCTTGGGATGTCTGGTGTGAATCGCTCTCTTAAGGTCATGCCACAGCATTTCAATCGGGTTGAGGTCAGGACTCTGACTGGGCCACTCCAGAAGGCGTATTCTGTGCTGTTGCAGCCATTGTTTTGTTGAATTACTTGTATGCTTTGGTTCATTGTCCTGTTGCATCACCCATCCTCTGCGGAGCTTCAGTTGGCGGACAGATGGTCATACGTTTTCCTGAAAAATGTCTTGATAAACTATGGAATTAATTTTCCCATCAATGACAACAATCCGTCCAGGCCCTGAGGCAGCAAAGCAGCCCCAAACCATGATGCTCCCTCCGCCATGTTTTACAGTGGGGATGAGGTTTTGATGTTGGTGTGCTGTGCCTTTTTTTCTCCACACATAGTGTTGTGTGTTCTTCCCAAACAACTCAATCTTGGTTTCATCTGTCCACAGTATATTTTGCCAGTAGTGCTGTGGAACATCCAGGTGCTCTTTTGCAAACTTCAAACGTGCTGCAATATTCTTTTTGGACAGCAATGGCTTCCTCCGTGGCGTCCTCCCATGTACTCCATTCTTTGTTTAATGTTTTCCTTATTGTAGATGTGTCAACAAAAATGTTAACATGTGCCAGAGATTTCTGTAGGTCTTTAGCTGACACTCTGTTATTCTTCTTTACCTCATGCAGCATTCTGCGCTGTGCTCTTGCAGTACTTTTTACAGGACGACCCACGATTAGGGAGAGAAGAAACAGTGCTAAACTTTCTCCATTTGTAGACAGTCTGTCTTACCGTGGACACATGAATATCAAGGCTTTTAGAGATACTTTTGTAACCCTTTCCAGCTTCATGCAAGTCAACAATTCTTGATCGTAGGTCTTCTGAGAGCTCTTTTCTGCGAGGCATGGTTCACATCAGACAGTGCTTCTTGAAACCAGTAAACCCAAAACAGGTGTGTGTTTTTTAAGGGCAGGACAGCTGTCAGCAACACATCCAATATCATCACACTGATTGGAGTCAAGGTTGGCTCACTCCTGGCTCCAACTAGTTCTGGGAGAAGTCATTAAGCTAGGGCCTCACATACTTTTTCCTCCCTGCACTGTGAATGTTTACATGTTATGTGCAATTAAACCATGGCAACATCTAATGTTTGTGTAGTATTATGTTCAGCAGACTGTGTTCTTCTATTGTTGTGACTTAGATGACGTTCAGAGCACATTTTATGCCCAATTCATGCAAAACTCCACGTAATTCCAAGGGGTTCACATACTTTTTCTTGCAACTGTATATAAATCGCATATAGTGTGATATCTGTTAATAATTAAATCAAATAATCACGCTCACATGAAATTTGATAATAGAATGATTATTTGATTTAATTATTAACATATTGAAAAATATCACGCTATATGCAATTTATATATTTTACATTGACTTCACCTTCCTAGGTGGGTATTTATCCAGCAGCCCAAAATAATTTTCTTGTAAATCTTCAGTCGCTGATGTATTATTTGATAAAAACAAAATTGACATTCTCAGGACACAACAACTTTATATATGGTGAGGATAGAATTGTAAATCCCCTTGTATCCAATGCCAAGTTTCTTCTCCTTTTTTCTTTATATTTATAATTCTTCTAAAAATCTTTACAAGTGGTACTGTACAATGCTAGAAGTGATATTATATGACTCTATCACCTCTGCTGCCTCTTTTCGTGCAGTCTTTCTTGCCTCTTTGCTCTCCAATTGATGCTGTTTGCTTAAAGATGTCACGCGTTCCTCTAATAGTTGATCCTTCATTCTAACTTCTTCTTCAGCTTGTGTCCTAAAGAAAAAAAACAATAAAAAATACATTATTGGGCTCAATATACAGTAGATGATGTATGTTTGATTCTGTTAAAGATTAAGATATTACTTCATTTGAAGTAACTGCTTTTCCTGTGCCTCTTTGTTTTGGAGCCTCTCTTCCAGTTCCTCTACACAGTGCTGTAAAAGGGCATTTCTCTGAATAGCCTGATCCATAGCACGGGATAGTTTTCGGTTATCCTCCCATGCAATTTCTATGGATCTTTGAAGAGGTTCTATCTGTTTGAAGAAAAGGAAGGCATACGTCTGACAACATGAAATGGATAAGGACAAACAATAGAAATTGTTTATTTACAAGGGAAACAATAATCATTTTGTTCAGGTATTTAAAATTTGTTTGAAATATTATAAGTTTTTTTTGTAACAAGTTTAAAATCTTTAATTTCTAAAACACACACTTTTACAGGGTGTGTACATGACACTGTTTATAAAGCATGCTAAACTTTCTAATAAGGAACCCCCAGCACTGCCTATGTGCTTCTTGGAACTAAAGCGGTATTAAACCCAAAAGTAAACATTTATTTTATTGCAGCTTACTAGTTTTAGACATGATGCCTGCATTAATTTTTAGACTTTCCTTTATTTTCACCTGGTGATCTTGCCAGTAAGTCTATTGTTTTTCAACAGAACAGGATGTCCTGCAGATGTAGCAGTTAGGGGGCTGAGACAAACCATTTTACACCGAAAGGGATGCCTACAATGATCAGAACAAAATGTTGTTGTAACTGCTTAAAAAGTCTTAGCTGGAGTTTGGCTTCAATTTGTCAGCGTACCTAAATCTGTTAGTCCATCTAACACTACCCTCAGACTGACAATGCTGCTGTCCAAAGGACTTGTGCTCCTTCATCCAAAATGGGTGCACGCTAATACAGCAGATGTGTTACTGGCCAGATCACCAGGTGAAAATACAGGGAAACAAAGCGTAAAAAAAAAAAAAAAACCCTTAATGCAGCCACAACATCTAATGATTGGCAAGCTGAAATATATTAAATGTTAGGTTATGGGTATAATACCATTTTAAGAAACCTTTTTTGCCGTCTTTGCAAGAATGAGGAGTGTGTCCCTCCTCTGAGTCAGCCAGTTTATTTTTATTTTCATATTTACCGTATATACTCGAGTATAAGCCGAGTTTTTCAGCACATTTTTTGTGCTGAAAAACGGCCCCCTCGGCTTATACTCGAGTCAACGTCTGCAGGGGGCTGCTGTCTCTTACCTGGCTCCGGTCCCACGACAATCCGGTCCAGGAAGCGCGGCTGCTCCTTCATTCGGTTCGTCCACTGGATGTTCGCGCGGCTGCTCGGCTCCGTCTTCTCACCGGTGATTGGCCGCCAGAACTGTAGCTCAGGAAAGGCACACAGGCGGCCAATCACCGGCGAGGAGGCGGAGCTGAGCGGCCCCGCGAAAATCGAGTGAAGGAGATGCAGGTAAGTGTGCCGTGCTTAGGTGCTGCTGCAACCACATATGCTGGCTGCAGCAGCACCATACTGGAACAGGGGTCAGCAAGTGTCAGTGGGAGGAATAGTGCCCCATCATTGGTGTCACTGATACCAATGATGGGGCATTATTCCTCCCACTGACACCAACGATGGGGCACTTTTCCTCCCCCCCACTGACACCAACGATTGGGCACTATTCCTCCCCCCCCCCACTGACACCAATGATGGGGCACTATTCCACCCCCTACTGACACCAATCATGGAGCACTATTCCACCCCCCACTGACACCAATTATGGGATACTATTCCTCCCCCCCACTGACACCAACGATGGGGCACTTTTCCTCCCCCCCACTGACACCAACAATGGGGCACTATTCCTCCACCCCCCACTGACACCAATGATGGGATACTATTCCTCCCACTGACACCAATGTTGGGACACTATTCCTCCCACTGACACCAATGATGGGACACTATTCCTCCCACTGACACCAAAGATGGGGCACTATTCCACTGACACCAATAATGGGGTGCTCTTCCCCCCACTGATACTAATGATGGGGCACTATTCCTGCCACTGATACCAATGATGGGGCACTATTCCTCCCACTGACACCAATGATGGGGCGCTATTCCTCCCACTGACACCAATGATGGGGCGCTATTCCTCCCACTGACACCAACGATGGGGCACTATTCCTCCCGCTGACACCAATGATGGGGCACTATTCCTCCCACTGACACCAATGATGGGGCACTATTCCTCCCACTGATACCAATGATGGGGCACTATTCCTCCCACTGATACCAATGATGGGGCACTATTCCTCCCACTGACACCAATGATGGGGCACTATTCCTCCCACTGACACCAATGATGAGGCACGATTCTTCCCACTGGTGTTCCCACCCTCGGCTTATACTCGAGTCAATAGTTTTTCCCAGTTTTTTGTGGTAAAATTAGGTACCTCGGCTTATATTCGGGTCGGCTTATACTCGAGTATATACGGTACCTGATTTAAAAAATAAACTTGTAAACTATTTTTGTGTAATCAAATTAATAAAGAAATAAATCTATATTAAAAAAAAAACCTTTAGCATTCCTTTAACTGCTTGCTGACCCGCCACAGTCCATATACTGCTGCAGGGCGGGTCCTACGGGCACATCAACGTACCTGTACGTCGCTGCCTGTTTCTGAGTTTCAGGAGCACACACACCCCCATCCGCCTACTCTCCTGTGATTTGACACAGTGAGAATTTGTCAGCAGACCCCGGTCAATGATTCATGGCTAGGGACCTGCTGATCGGCTGTGTCGAATCACAGCCCAGAGCCCTGTGTTGACAAACACCACAGGGCTCTATATAGAGGGAGCGATTGCTTTGTTTCTTAAACAAATCGACCTGTAGTAAAAAGCAGCACATACTACACATTGTTATGCAAACAGTTACCTCCTTGCTTGCCCCTAGATGTTAATCCCTTCCCAGCAAGTGCCATTAGAACAGTGACAGTGTATATTATTAGCACTGATCACTGTATTAGTGTCAATGGAGATGTCAGTGGCAGTTAGTCAGTTTCCACAAAGTGTCAGTTAGTGTCAGATTGCCCACCACACTATCTCAGTCCCACTATAAGTTGCTGATAGCCGCCATTACTGGCATAAAAATAAATAATAAAAATTCCACTATATATACCATTGTTTGTAGACACTAGCTTTCACACAAACCATTTAACCACTTCAAGCCCAGAAGGTTTTCTCCCTTACTGACCAGGCCATTTTTTGCTATTCGCCACTGCACTATATCAGCTGGTAATTGCATAGTCATGCAACGCTGTACCCATATAAAATTTATGTCATTTTTTCCCACACAATAGGGCTCTTTGGAATGGTATTTTATCACCCCTGGGGTTTTTTATTTTTTGTGATATAAACAAAAAAAAAGACTGAAAATTTTGAAATCCTCCCCCCAAATATTCTACTTTCTGTTATAAAAAATGTCAAACTCAAATTTAGCCATAAATTTAGGCCAAAATATATTCTGTTACATGTCTTTGGTAAAAAAAAAAAAAAAAAAAAATCCCAATAAGTGTACATTGATTGGTTTGTGTGACAGTTATAGCGTCTACAAACTATAGTGTATATATATTGGAATTTAAGCAGCTTTTACTTTCTGCCTGCCTATCACATTTCTTGAGGTACTAAAATGCCAGTGCAGTACAAACTCCCCCCTGAAAGTAGACACCCCAAGGGATTTACTGAGAGGCATGTTGAGTCCATAGAAGATTTTATCTTTTGTCACAAATTTTTGGACAATTACTTTATTTTTTTTATTTTTTTTTTTTTTACACAAAGTTGTCACTTAAATGATATATTGCTCACACATGCCATGGGAATATGTGGAATAACACCCCAAAACACACTCTGATACTTCTCCCGGGTATGGGGATACCACATGCGAGAGACTTTTTGGCAGCCTAGCCACACACAGGCCCCCAAAATCCAATGACCACCATATTTCCTCATGTCACTTTCTCACTGCCTATCAGTTTCTGAGGTCCTGAAATGCCAGGATAGTACCACCCCCCCCCCCCCCCCCCCCCCCCCCCAATGACCCCTTTTTGGAAATTAGACACCCCAAGGAATCTGAAAAGAGGCAGGGTGAGTATTTTGCAGATATTATTTTTGTCAGAGGGTTCTGAAACAGAAAAACCGTGATTGACGTTGGATCTACTGCAGGGGACATTCTTTTAGTTTTTTTCTTTTAATAAAGGGCTTGTCAAAGACCGTGTCCTGTCTTTTTTCACACAACACATTTTTTTTTTTTGTGAATGAGTAGCGGTACCATATACCCCATACTCATTCACATGGGGGGGGGGGGGCAGGATCTGGGGACCCCCTTATTAAAGGGGGCTTCAAGATTCCGATAAGCCCCCTGCCTGCAGATCCCCACAACCACTGGTTAGGGTTTTTTTTTTTTTTAATTCTGGTGTGGGAGTTCCCCTCAAAATCCATACCAGACCCGAAGGGCTTGGTGTGATTGGGAGAGGGAACCCCACGCCGGTTTTTTAATTGCCGGCAATTCTTTTACATTCAGCTGTCAGTGGGGAACCCGGCTGACAGCTGAAACATTAACACATGGTTCTCACTACTAAAATACTGCATGACTTAATAAAATAACTCATGCAGTATTTTAGTAACGTTTACTTTTTTCTGACCTCCGGAACGGATTAATTGGTTTTCAATGTATTCCTATGGGAAATGGTGTTTCGGTTTACGAATTTTTCACTATACGAAAAGTCCTGCAGAATGAATTAAATTCGTAAACCGAGGTATTACTGTATTTTGTAATGCCCATGTTGAGGGTTAGGCCCAAAATAGTTTTAAACTCAGAAATCGTGATAGGTTTCCATGCGAATTGTCTGGCAAGAGCAGAGTTTGTGTGGGCGGTGATGTATTGTTGTGCGTATAAATTGCTTTGGCCCACAATCAATAGATACAAATCTTTTGTGAAAAATAGCGGAGGGGCTAAATGCAGGTGCTGGCAGCAAATGGGGCTGATCCTGTCAACCCTGCGTTTTTGGGGACACTATACTAAGGAGGCACTAGTATAGTTCTGTTCATGATCGTAATGGGGGTGATCAGTGACCTATACCGTAAGTGTGACAGTGTGTGGGCAATCTAGCGCTAGCCGACCCTGACACTATCTGATGTCACTAGTGGCCATAATACAGTGATCAGTGAAAAATTCTATATACTAACACTGTACTAATAGCACTGGCTGGGTGACGAGATGATTAAAGGGTTAAATGTGCTAATTTAACGTGTGTGTGTGTGTATAATGTAGTGCTTTTACTCACAGTGTGGTGTTCTGTGGACCGAGAAGGGAGGCAGCAGGGGACGCATACATGCATGGTCACACCCGGAAATAGAAAGCGATGTAAAAGGTATGTCGCTTTGCCTACAGCCACCACTCGCCCCCACACATTGCGGGTGGGTGATCGGCAAGTAGTTTAAAAAAAAAAAATAAACCCTGGGTAGTAATCAGGGCTGTTTTATTTTTTTTGCACTTTGCTTTGCAGAAGCAATAAAGATGGTGCAGTGTGCTGTGATTGTCCCGATCACAGCTCACTAGGAAGGGAAGGAAAGCTGTTATGAATCAGATTTATTCATAACAGCTTTGCTAGCATTGTGATCATGTGATTGCGTAGCCAAAGAGACATACCGGTATGTCGCTCTGCCTGTACAAGATGCAGAAGTGGTTAATATACACTTATTGGGATTTTTTCTACCAAAGACATGAAACAGAATACATTTTGGCCTGAATTTATGAAAAAATTAGATTTTTTTTTTTTTATTGAATATGTTTTATAGCAGAAGGTAAAAAATATATTGGGGTTTTTTTTTTTTAATTTTTTGTCTTTTTTATATTTATATCATTAACAATAAAAAACCCAGTGGTGATCAAATATCACCAAAAGAAAGCTCTATTTGTGTGAAAAAAAAAACTATATGAATTAATTAGGTACAGTGTTGCATGACAGTGCCATTACCAGTTAAAGTAGCACAGTGCTGAATAGAAAAAAAATGGCCTGGTCATGAAGGGGGTCAAATCCTCCAGAGCTTAAGTGGTTGAATCACCTTGCCATGATGTTGCGACTCCGCAGTCTGTAGCTTCCTTTGAAACGCTGAAAGCTCCACCTCCAGTCTCTGAATCTGCTTCTGACTATTAGCCCTGAATAAGGTTGATATACTCAAATTAGTACAAAGTGCAAGTTTACTCTATATGAATATTGCAAATCACAGAAAAACATTAATAGTACATTCTTTTTGCTTTAGGTATAATCTAGAAATCTATATTCTATCAGAGAAAGAACCTTAAAGTGGTTGTAAAGGCTTAAGGTTTTTTTACCTTCATGTATTCTATGCATGAAGGTAAAAAACCTTCTGTGTGAAGCAGTGCCCCCAGCCCCCTCAATACTTACCTGAGCCTCATCGTGATCCAGAGATGTGAATGACAGCCTTGGCTGTCCACGGTCAGCCAAAAAAGGAGACAGGGGACACGGCCAAGCGTGAATGGACACACGGAGCAGCAGGTGCCCCAACAGCAAGTTGCTTGCTGTGGGGGCACCTGACAGGAGGGAGGGGCCAGGAGAGCCTGCGGGGGATGCGAGAAGAGAAGGATCCCAGCTGCTCTGTGCAAAACCACTGCACACAGCAAGTAATTATAGACATGTTTGTTATTTTCCAAAAAAAGTTACCTGTAGAATCGCTATAAAGCTTACATTGTTTTTTAAGGGTATGTAGCTATACCAGACACAAATGGAACTAAATGGAACTAGCCAAGGAGCCAAAACGGACACATTTAACTGGTCTTGGATGCAGAATTCCGCAACAAAAAGGACAAGATGTATTTGTCATGTAGTCCATGCAGTACCAGTCCAGAGAATCTGCATGTATCTTACCAAAGTCAATTTCAGCTGTGAAATATTTCCCAGCAACACAATTGCACAGTAAACAAGTTTTAAATTATCACCCTGAATACATTTTAAAGCATATGCATTACCAAAAATGAAAACTCTTGTATTAAAATACCACTTTATTCACTGAGTAACAAGAAAAAACCAGAACTGTACAGAACATCGCATTCCAATGACTCTGCCTGTAAACTTTGTGATCTTGTTGCTGTGTGAATAAAGCTGGATATTAATGTAAAAGTGGCCAAAAAAACATGTATCTGAATTGGCTTGATTTAAAACTTTTTTGGGTAAGTATCGGATGGATATCAGCAGCTATTTATACTGTGTGGTAAGGACGTAATCTGTCCCTGTCGGCTTTATTAAATCTGAAATTCGAGCCATAGGTGGCCCTGTTAGCACCACCTGGTTCGTTATACTTCAGGCCTTGTTCACGCCATGGTGCAGAGACGTGAGTTTTTCCTGCACGCGTTTTGCAAGGGCACAAACAACACTAGTATAACAAGCCAATTTTTTCTGCGCAGGAATCTGCAATGTGTATAAAACTCACTGAAATGCGCATTAAATCTCATGTAAACTCATGTCTCTGCAAGTAAAATCGTTTTTTTCCAATCAGTTTTTCTGCACATATGGTGTGAATGAGGCCTCAATGTAAAAATCATTGGAGCCAGCTGAAAATGTTGGCTGATCCTATTAAATTAAGTTACTGTTCTAGTATTAAGGCAGCCGCCAACACCCTTGGCAGTGCCGATTCCTCTATCCACACTGTATTGCATGGATAAAGTAACATACTAGACCTCTAATACATTTTAACTACATCTCTTAACAGTTTTTGCTTGTACTCTAGAAAATGTTAATAACTGATAGGTGGAATTTTAAATAGAGTACTGGGTGGCCAAGGCCACTTTGCAACTCCCACTCATAAAATAATGCAGTTACTATATTCTAGCTGGTGGCTCTAAAGGTGGGCAGTTGGCTACTATGCTATTGCTATATTGCTAAGCAAACACAGGCATTCCATACAGATAACTTTCAAGGCCAAAGGACCCCCACTAAATTTTATTAAATTTGATAAAATGTGAGGGCGGGGGGGCTGGGTTTCCTGCCCTAGCTGCTGTGAATATCAAACTTCAGTCTGATAATCTCATCCACCTTGCTTTTTCAAATATGGTAACACCATATCTACCCTTCCATATAGAAAACAAAAGGTTGTGGAAAATTGATTCTCAATAAATTCTACAATAAAAAAAAACCCCAAAAAACACCACAATGAAAAATGATGAAAATATAAAGGTACGTCCAGCTTTTCAGCATGTTTCTGGATCAGGTTAATTTTTGAGACTTAAAAAATCACTACAGATCAATTTTAAAAGACCTGAGATATATTTTTCCTCACCTGTCTTTATGTAGATTTATGATGTCAGCATCTCTGCACCCCAATTCAGTCTGCAATGTTTCTAATTCCTTCTGGAGTTTAGTGTGGGAGGACAAGATATTCTCCAGAGTTTCAGACATTCTACTTCTCTCCTCACATACATCAGACAGCTGCTGCTGGATGACTACTCTCTGGAAGTGAAAGTTATGAGGAACTAATAATGCAAAATAGTATAAGAAAAAATATATGTAGTAAAACAAAGAGATTGCATCAAATATTACACAGGCACCATTTTTTCTCAGCGAATGGATTACTTTCTCTGAGCACAATTAGATACTCAATCTGTATTACTTACATTATGCTCCTCTTTCTCCTCAAAAGCTTTGATCTGTTTTCTGAGCTTTTTCTCTTCTCTTACAGTCTCATCCCTAGCCTGGATAGCCAATGTAAAATCCTCCTCCTTACGATTCAACAAGTTCACAGTCTGTGAAAGATACAAAAACATTAAGGTTCTCTGCATTACATTACCAAAAACATCAGTTTCAATAGCTGAAAGATTAAACGTTTATTCTGGTATATAAAACCCCGAGTGCTTAAATGTACAAGATGCACATACACAAAGCAATGGGATATAGTCACATACAGTAGTATCTCACCTGTTGTAATTTGGCCTCTGTTCTTTGCAATCTGATTTTGCAAGAGTCAAGCGCTGAAGTAATCTACAAAGAAAAAAAAAAAAAACAATGATCACTTTATGCTATTCAGTGGTTAAATAACACATCACAGAGTGGCAACTGTGTGTACCTGTGTGTACTTCATCTCTAGAGCTTCGTGGAGTTTACGAAGCTTGGAATTCTCTAACTGAGCATCACAGACAGATTGCAGTTCAGACTGTAATTTACGTACTCTGCTCTGTATGAAACATATAAAACCTGAATATAAGTGCAATGCCAAAACAGGTAATAAGAACTAAGCATTGTGTTAATACACTGTACTCTGTCAGGAATTAAATATCTTTTAATAAACTGCAGATCAAGTTTTTCAGAAGTAGCATATATTCAAACACCAAATGTTTGACATTTACACTAAAGTTACAAACCACTCAGCATCTTACCTCCAGCTTTCCTTTTTCGTATGCAAGTTTACTCTTGCTGTCTGTCAGTTCAGTTAGCAGTTCCTCCACTTGTCTTTTAGCATTCTGCAAAGGCACAATAGAATTGCATGAAAATGAGTGCACACAATTATGTAGAATACTTAAAGTGGAGTTCCACCCAAAAGGGGAAGTTTTACTTTAAACGATTGGTCCCCCGCTCCCCATTAAGGATTGGCACCTTTGCAGAGCAGGTACCCGAAATTGACAGGTACCCGCTCCCACTTCTGCTGCGATCGCCTAGGTGATCTGATATGGAAGTTGTCCTCCTACCCTCCCTCCCAGTAGTCTTGTGGAACACGCGACAGGTCCCAGAAGACGACGGGGCCATTCAGGAAGCGCAGCGCTACTGCGCATGCCCAGTGGGCACCCGGCTGTGCAGCCGCAAGCTGTTACAGCTGGGTGCCCACACTAAAGATGCCGGCACCTGGAATACAGGACGGCCGGTGAAACAGGCTGCGGCGGGGGCACCGCATGATCATGGGACAGGTGAGTGGCTGTTTTTTAAAAGTCAGCAGCTACAGTTTTTGTAGCTGACGACTTATTTTTTTACAGAGTAAGTGGAACTCCGCTTTAACACACCACCATTTACCTTAAAAATACGTTTAGAAGTTAATAAAAAAGAGAAGAAAGGAAGATAAAGGAAAATATAACAGAAACTTAGCAGAGCACAAAGCATACTATAAGTCAATGTGAGAATATACACATAGCTGAAAAAAGTTGCTAGTTGAAACCATAATACCTCTGCTGGGCATCTGGGCACCACCCTTACCTGTTCCTGCTCCAATACTGCCAGCTGATCCATAAGTCGCTTATTTTCCTGCTCATTGGCCAACAGAGAAGCCTGCACAGAGCTTAACTCCAGCTGCAGCATAAAGTATACTGTCAGGTGCAGTACATACCGTAACATATTTTTCACAATTTAAACACAATGAATTTAAACACCTTCAGTTTGGAGGGATTTCAAATAATACAACACTCCCCCGACATTGTTACTCGCTAAGTAACATATTTAAGCTGCATCTGCTAATACAACCGTATGAATCTTTGCACGGTCTCTCTTCATGTTCAACTGGGTCATGCATATCTCTTTCTTGCATAGACAGAACCAAATCTTTTAACACTAACATGCATGTTAGGGTGAATGATGTTTATACTAAATAACAGCATTCAGAGCTGGCAAATTATGGAACAGTGCTGACCTTCCCTAAAACTACAACCAACAATGTGCAATCAATTACCTCCCTATAAAAATGTGAGTCTATAATATGCTCCAAGGCTACACTATACTCAAACCATGTAAAAATGTGATAAACACTCACTAGTAGCAAGTGTAAAATGCTATTCAATTATCTCCACTATTCAAGTTTACGTAGAAAAAAAAAAAAACCTAATACCATCTGGCATCCCCCACTCTACCATATATCTATCAGTCAAAGTAAAGTGCAAATGCACATAACAAAATATCAGTGTCATATAACATCCTCTTACATTGTGCAAAATAATAGCAAATAATGTCCAAATAAAGTGTAAAATAGTTCTTAAAATTATATAATGTCCATCTCATATGTAAGACAGTCCACCTGTGCAAAATAAACTTCTTAGATCTTCTTCACACCACCACACCACTGTGCTGTTCAACCACCAAATGAATGAGCCTGCTTATTTCACTGAATTTTAGAATAGCTTCCAAAAATCTCCACATGTAAAGTTTGTAATTACAAATATGATCACTAAAATGCAAATTGTGTTACATGTTTTTTTTTACCTATTATTAAAGAGTACCTCTATTTAAACTTAAATAATGATATATTCAATTCCTCTGTAAAGCCTTGCAGCTGTCACCAGAACAGCTACACAAGGACAGAAATACGTGAGCTGCCATTGTTGACTTTTTTTATAAAAGTTTAAGGTTTTAGGGCTATCATATTAGGCCCTGTTTTCACTAATGACAAATTCACCACCTGAAAGGTTTACTTCATGTAATCTAATAAGGCGACAATTATATTCCCATATTAAAGCTGTGTTGTTTTAAAGCAGAAGCAAATTTGAGAAAAAAAAAATTAAAAATTTTACTATGCTAGGCATCATTGATAACTGCCACGTACCATGGCAAGAAAAGTACAATAAACCTAACAAATACAGTATATCACTTGCTATAGTATAATAACCACTGTATAGGTTTTATATCACCTTATTTTCAGTCAGCAGAATTTCCATGTTTTGTTTGTTCTCCAGGACGTCACTCAGTGCTCTGTCCAGCTGCAAAAATCATTTACAGAATACAAATACTAATCACTTTATAGCAATATTAACAGACTTCTTCAGCTTGATGGACTGAATTTAACTCTTACGCTGGCTACGCACATTACAGTCAAATTTTACATCTCTGTACAATATCCATTAGATTTACCAAAAAAATATGTAGTGGGAGGGCATTGCTGAAAAAAATAACTTTAGTTTTAAATCCAGTCAGGTAACTCCTTGCATTGCATAGTTGTTGGTAAATTTAAATCCACTTTGGATCCACAGGAGAAGGTGGCAGAGAGTGATGTCCCATAACGGCATGGTGCAAGTCTCTGCAGCATACATGGCCTACCCACTGCAACAGGAAGAACTTATGTCATATGCTTGAAACGTAGTGATATTTATTCTTGAAAATAGGTAAGGAAAGTACAAAAACAAACACTTAAAAAATGCAAGCATAACAGCAAAAATGGAGAGATGTGACCAGGGCCTAAATGTTTATTTGTTTATATAACTTTAAAACAAAAATCAAAATAAAATTGACTCCAAACCATGATAGTTTCCCTTTTAGTGTGCCACAAAATCAGGGGTCAGCTTGTTCATGGGCAATGTTTATCAGTCAAGACATGGTTTGGTTTGTATTACCTCCTCTTGCAGCAATTTATTTTCATTGTCTAATGCTGCTCTATCCCTTAGTGCAGATTCTAGGTCTGCTCTCAGACGAGCAATGGTAGAGTCTTGCATCTCTTTCTGCACAGCATTCTTCTGCTTTACAAGTGCAATTGTTTTGTGACATTCTGTGTGTTCAGCACGTAGAGTCTCTCTGAATGAGTTACAATGCAAATGTTAAACAGGCATAGTAAAGAGTCAATCTAAATGGTCTTGACAGTCATATTGCTTTCACAATCATTTATACAGCATGGATTGCCTACTTTTCAAGCTTGCAATGAGTATTAGGTGGACCTTTATTGATATACTAACTTAGGGATATACATCCACGTGAAATATTGTTATTAAGTTACACATCACAATTTTGCAGTAGAGTTCATCCTTTAAGCCTTGGCATTCAATAATCTAGCTATCATAGGCATTCAATGCATTTGTTGGTCTTGCTACAATACTAAAAACCAGGTCATCAGTTAACCACTTGTCTACCGGGCACTTTCACCCCCTTCCTGCCCCGGCCAATTTTCAGCTTTCACCGCTGTTGCACTTTGAATGACAATTGCGCGGTCATGCAACACTGTACTATGAATTTTTTATCATTTTTTTGAGACAGATAGAGCTTTCTTTTGGTGGTATTTAATCATCCGTTTTTTTTTTTTTTTTTTTGCTAAACAAACCAAAAACAACTGACAATTTTGAAAAAAAAAGTTTTTTCTTAGTTTCTGTTATAAAATTTTGTAAATAAGTAATTTTTCTCCTTCATTTTTGTGCACTAATGAGGCTGCAGTGATGGGCACTGATAGGCTGCACTGATGAGGAGGCACTGGTAGGTGGCACTGATGGGCACTGAAAGGCAGCACTCATATATGGCACTGATCGGCAGCACTGACTGGAACTGATAGGCGGCACTGAAAGGCAGCTCAGATGGACACTGATATGTGGCATTGATGTGCACTGGTAGGCACTGATGTGGCACTGGCATTGATGGACACTGACAGGTAGCATTGATGGGCACTGACAGGGCTACACTGATCATCAGAGCACTGATCATCAGTGCCCTGATGATCAGTGTACATGTCCCCTCTGAGGAATGCTGATTACCGACTCTCCTCTCCTCACGAGCTGTCAACGTGACAGCTCGTGAGGAGAGGAATGCCAATAACCGGCATTTCCTTATTTATATGCGATCAGCTGTGATTGGACACAGCTGATCACATGACAGAGCCGACATCATCTGCTCTTTCCACTGATCAGTGATCCGCTGTGTCCCAGGGACACAGCGCACCACCGATGGCCGCGCACGTGCGGTTAGAGTGGGAGGACGTCATATGACACCCTCCTAGAAAGAGAGAACCGCCGCCCTCCCATCATTACCTTATATGGTGGGCGGAGGCGGTTAGCCTGCCGTACCATCTTAACCACTTGACCTCCAGAAGGTTCATGACCATGACACATTTTTCTTAGTTTCTGTGTTAACATTTGCAAATAAATAATCTTCTTTCTTCATACATGTAGGAAAAATGTATTTTACTGCACTTTGGTAAATATAACCCAAACTGTGTATATTATTTAGTGTGTGTGAAAGTTATAGTCTACAAACTATGGTGTAGATCTCTGAAAATTGATTAATCCTGATGTACTTACAGCCTAATTCCTTGAGGCCCTTAAAATGCCAGGACAGTACAATACCCCCTAAATAATCCCTTTTCAGAAAGTAGACAGCTCAAGGTATTTAGTAAGAGGCATGGCGAGTTTTTTGAAGTTGTAATTTTTTGTCATAATTTTTTGGAAAATTAAGAAATTAAATAAAATTTGGGGTTTTTTTGCACATTTTTATTACATACTTTCACCAGTGAGATACAGCGTCATCGACAATTCCTTATTCAATATTTGAAAACATTTTTTTCTTTTTCTTAATTTTTTTTTTTTTTACAAATACTGTCATCAGAATAGTTCAGGTCACCATAGTGGCACTGTACTATTCTGTTATTGCTCATAACAGTGATCATTGCTGTTATAAGTAATAGTTAACTGTCATGAATGGCTTTCCATTCATGACAGTTTGCTTTCTCTTGAAATGCTGTGACTGGCTACAGCTAATCACATGGTACATGGTGTCAGGTACCATGTGATAGCTGTGTGCCAATCACAGCTTCACAACACTAAGCAAAGAGTCATGAATGGAAACCATTCATGACTGTTTTGTTTACATTGTAATCATGTGATTGTTATGACCAATCATAGCAATCACATAGTCATGTGATTGCTATGACCAATCGTAGCAATCACATGATACTCTGGATGATGTGTGTATATGCCAGGCCACGTGCAGCCCGCTAGCAGTATATGTAGTGTTAGTGGGTGACAAGTGGTTAAATAAAGGATATTGAAATCTAACAGAAACAAAGTGAGAAGTGTTGGGTGACTCACAGTTCTCTCTCTATCACGGTTTGATGACACTGCACGTTCCGGAGCTCTTCATTCAGGCTTTCCTGTACTGTGTTTAACATAAGCTCTTTATTCTGCAGCTTTTGAGACATGGTGTCTTGCACCACCTGTAGGACATTTTATACAGAAATTAATGCAACAAGCATGTAGTTATAATAAAGTAGACCTAGTATAGGTTAGAGATGATAACCAGTGGTAGAAAATAAACAACAAGGATACCCTCAAAGATTTGTATATACCTTAAGATCTTGCTGTTGCTGTGTCTTGAGATGGATGTTATCATTGGTGAGTCTTTGGACAGTAGCAGTAAGCTCTGAGCACTGACTTTCTAGCTGTTGGTTTAAAGACTGCAATACAACCAACCACATAAATACATATAAGACTTACAACTCAGAAAGATGATGTGAAAGATCATAAACATTTCTCTGGTTATTAACCTGCCTTAGAAAACATTTGTTGCAAGAACAAGTATACTATGTCACAGAACAACTGGATAACAGACTGTGAGCCCTAAAAAGGGACAAAGCATAGAGTCCAAGTACATGCCAACTGACCTTCCCTAGAGCACCATGCATAGAGTGATGGACTTTCCTGGTGGGTGTACCAGGTTGCAGCCCTGGAATACCAAGCAGAGCATGGTACACAGTCCACAGGCAATTTAAACAATTTGGGGCAGGGCAAAGATCAAGGCTGGCAGGAAATAAGCAGGTCAAAATACAAGGAGAAGTCAGTAACCAGAGAAACAGGAATGCAGGAGCTCAGGGACTAACACAGATTGGAGTCTTGGGCTGGGAAATGAGCCTATTGCTGACACAACAGGTGTTGACCTGAAAACAGCTACATAGTGAGGTTAATTGATGGCTGAGTGAGGACTGGTGGTGTAGTTACTATAACAATCAGCAGGTGGAATCCAGCGATGCCTATAACTCCTTGTTCAGCAATAAGGTAGGAGAGATCACATGGTGGTAGAACTACAGGTACCCCATCAGCTTTGCTGCTGAACTGTGACACATTATGTTTCTTTATGTTACCTGAACTTTTTCTGCTGCTCCATGAAGAGCGACAGAGTCAAGTCTGATTTGAGAAAGTTCAACGTGTTCTGTTTCAAGTTTTTGTTTAGTAATCTAAAAGAAGAGCAGATTACAGCATATTAGCAATGCAAATGATCTCCATATGATTTCCACTCAACCCATGTATAATGTCATCTGCTAATCTGTTATGGCATATGACAACTGTTTTTTCTCTCAATCCTCTTGTGCTAGTATTTCTTGGCACTGGACACAGAAGAGTTAATAGTCATTACTACATGGGTTATGCTGCCACTTTTAGGTGAATGCAAAGTGGCCAGACGAAAAGGCCGGAATCCCTGTCCAGGCATATCTCCTCCCAGTTCAGCCCAACCTCAGTTTTGTGCTAGTGTCTGAATGTGATGGATGCTTTCCAGAGTCTCCCTGCAGACCTTTTTTTGGGACTTTGTTGCTTTGTCTGTTCCTAGCATCCCTATCCGGGCAGAGGTGGTCCCTATCCAGATAGGTCACTACAGCCAGCAGGCCAACAGCAACTGTACCACAGACGGTCTGTAAATACCTGCCATTCGGTGCTGGATCCTGTCAGCAGTGACTTTGACATACAGCATACCCAGTTATTTCGCTGACATGGTGTTCTACAGACCCAGGGCAGTAATCCTCCTGGAGTAGAGTCCCTGAAGTTTGGGCCTACTAGGCCCTGCAGTAGGACCGGTAAGCTCCTGTGTGTTTGTGAAGTTGTGGCAGCCCCCTTACAGTGTTCCCTTTTGTGCGGTGTTTTTAATGCGCAAAATGACATCAGAACATGTGTTTTTCCCTTATGGGTTGGTATACAAGCTGTGGCAGTGTATTAAAAGGGCCGGCCTATTGGACATTTTGTGTCCTATTCACTTTCTCCACACTGCTCAACAGCATTCACCTGATATCTCAGCCATCGTGCCACCCACAACCACTAACCAAGCTGATTTCTGTCCATCGGGGCACAGCAAATACTGGGCACATGTGTATCATCCCTCAGCAAACTATGACTTCTCGATTGCAGAGAAGTGAGAAAAAAAGACAATGGGGGGACGCCAAGTTCCTTCACTAGGTAGGGAGCTTCACATGGGTCAGATTAGCTATGAACCCCTGCCTTTTTTCAGGTTTCTACATTTTTTAGATGTACAATTCTCCTCTTACTTTGAGTCAAAGGAGGAGTAGGAAGAAGTGAAAGCCATTCAGGATCAGGAATACTTTGTTGATCAGGGGCTGGGAGACAGAGATGGGGGGGTGCTGCAGCTGCACAGAGAGGCGCAAAATTTGTAGTAGGAGTTCTGTCCTCCTCTCTGCAGCTGACTACTGAGATTAGCCAGGCGGGGCAGAGACAAGCCAGTCTTCTGGTTGTATGGAGAAGTGCAGGATCTAACCGAGAAGTTCTATCCTCTCTGCTGTTGGCTGCTGAGACAAGGTGGGGACAGAGACAAGTGAGGAGCAACAGTTGCACAAGAGGTGTGAAGGCCACATGAGATGGCCTGGAAGGTCACATTTTGCCCTCGGGCTATGTGTTTGACACATGCGCCTTAAAGAATTCCATAACTTCTGTGCTGTACAGTAGAGGATCACCACTACTAGTTTGTGGGGTTACCCTTTTACCTGTCCATGGCCCCCAGGGTGTCATCAAGGTGTTCGCTCTGGTTCTGGAGTTGTTGAGAACCCAAGAGATTCCCATTATTGGATACTAGACTTTCTCCTACAAGAGTAATTGCATTGAAGACTGACGCACATCATCCAGAAGTTGGTACAAGCCCTGGAGAAGTTTGGCTGCCTGGTAAACCCTTAAGAAGTCGGTCTTGGTACCATGTGGAATACTTAGGTTTAATCCTGAATACATCTCAGGCAAGTATAGTGCTACTGTCTCTTCAAGTCCAGGTGGAGTCTCTACGTACGCTAAAAGGTCCCTTGATCTGGATTATGCATGATAGTACTGGGGAAGATAGTAGTCGCCTTTGAGGTGGACCCATATGCACAGTTTCATTCCAGAACTCTGCAGCTCAATATCCTGCTAGTATGGGATAACCATCAAGAATCCTTGGCTCAGGCAATGCATTTGACTCCAAAAAGCAATGCAGCTTTGGAATGGTAGATATCCATGCAGATGCTGAATGCAGGAAAATCCTTCCTTCCAATGAAATAGAAGGTCTCGTCAACATACTCCAGCCTGTTAGACTGGGGAGGTGTTCTGAAGAACCTTTCTGTTCACCGAATGTGGTTGTCAGAGGAGCAGAAGTTGACAATCAACATCCTGGAAGCTCATGCCATTTTCCAACTCCAACAGTATGTCATGGAGCAGATTATAGCTTTTCTCCAGTCTGGTCTGGAGATGTCCTTAGCGCTGAGTAGCATCAAGACCCAAATCTCAGCCTTAGCCATGCTTTTTCAGAGACCGGTTGTGTCTCATTCCTTGGTCAAAGCGTTTGTTCAGGGCGTCACTCCCCCTGTTATCTCTGTGGGAATTTAACTTGGTCTTGTCTGTTTTGCAGTCTTCTCCCTTTGAAACTCTCCAAGTGATTCCCTGGCTGCTTCTTGATTGTCTTTTTAGAGGTCATTGCATCAACTTGAAACTGTCCAACAAGAAGGTCATGTACACTTTGGATGTTGTTTGAGCTGTTTGCATTCATCTGAAGTCTACAGTTTTGTTTTGACCGTCTGATTGCCTGT